ATGCATTACAAGTGTAATAATCCATTGAAGCGAAGCTTCCCATTCACACTCCCACACAGAGACGCAATGAGTGAGCCCGGCTCCTGTCTGATGTTGGTTGCTGCCCAAGGAGAGAAGAGGGACCTCAAGTGTGAGATGACGCTGTCTAGAGTCTACAAGTATAAACTGGCAGCAAACACAATGTCCCTCTTGATCTGACGAATGGCTGAGGGAAGAAGAATGGGAATAAAAAGATAAATGACTTTTTGTGGGAGTTAAGAGAAGCACATCGGCACATTAAAGGTCATTTAATGCTGGGAAAAAGTAACACCGACAGACAGAAACAACAGAGGGAAAGTAAAAAAGTAGAACCCCACCTACGGTGCCCTCAAACAACACGCATAAATGACCAGCATAGAAAATCTTTTTCAGACTCATAAATTAAATGTTCTCTCTCTTCTTTCTTTTTAACATGCACCACACTTTTTCCTCCATCTCACAAATACACTTCTTTGTATGTATCAATACAATAACATGGTAATCTGCTGCATATGGTGTGTCAACAGAAAACAAACAGTATTTTGTAATGAACTGGTCAACAATAGAGATATTAAAAAGCAGTATACACCTGGAAATTAAAACCTGGTAACGCACAAAATATTCATTAAATCACCTGTTCTATTTCAGATAAGTCTAATATGAAAAAAAGAAAGAAAAAAAAAAATGGCAACAAAAGCAAGAAGAAATGCTGGTGCAAAGAAAAGTCACTGCTACAATTCAACATATAACAAAAAAGTAAGATGCACAGTATTCTTATTCTATGATACATATGTACTAGCGCACAATAATAGATAGCATTTGTATAGCGCAAATCGCCGCTCAACAGCAAGCTCTATGCGCTTCCCAATCTACATTATTACCCCAGAAGACCCGAGAGCATTCTGAAACAACCTCAATTTCCTGGGAAACATACAGTGTAAGCGGCCATTTATAGGCGCTAAAACACTAACATACTGACAGGATCTTTCGCTGTGAATGGCCGGGTACCCATTCCCACCTGGGTGAAGGGAAGAAAATTTTTGTAAAGTGCTTTTCCCAAGGACACAACGTCGGGCCCGCGGCTCGAACCCCTGAACCCTCAACCTCAGGATTACGAGTCTGGTAGCCTAACCACTTGGCCACCGACGCCACAAAACAAAGGACCACGGAAGTATAGAAACACAACATGCCATCATAAACTCACCCTCAGCAAACTTGTTTTCCAGTTCTGTGTTCCCAATGGCTTTGGATGCCTGCACCATCTGACGCAGTGTCTCCTCCAGTCTGCGCATACAGCGAATCACACTCCCTGTGTACAATAAAAAATGTCAGTGTGAGTATTCACCAATCACAACTAGCTCAGTAAAAGGTATATCAAATGGCTGTAAATCTTGAAATCTTATGGCAAACTTTGGGATGCTAACAACCCATTTTTAACAAAATATCTAGAACTTGGAATATCAAAAGAAATAAAAAGGAACATCAAACCCAGAAATCTAGATATGAAATGTCATTCAGGTTGATGCAAAACATACAGGGCCTACATAAAAAAAAAATAATCAAATTCTGTACATTTACCAGACAGAGGCATGCTCCTGCACTGCATTGTATCATAACCGATTAAGGGAAAATAAAATTAAGCCACAAATCACCAATTTGTTCAGAACATAATAGGAAAGGAACGCACAATTTGTTCTATTCTCATTTCGATTCCAAAAGACACTATCAATTATTACAAAGTACTAAGAAAAATCAGGCAGAATTTACCTTCAAAAACATCAGTCATCTGACAAATGTGGGCAAAGGTGCAGCCATTACACCAAGAGTTGACAACATCCATGAGGTGTGGTCTGAAGGAATCCACGTATGTTTCTTCATCCAATTCCAACTTGGCCTCTCGACTGATGCGGGCGATGCGACGTGCTGTGTCCTGATAGATGTTTGCAAAAGATGTTTAAAAAACCCCCAAAAAACATACCGCCAAAGTATAATCTACAAACCTGTTGACTATACAATCCAATGACCTACAACCTATTTGTTCGATATAACTTTTTTAAAATATAGTGTATGCCCATGTGGGGGTGGTGGTGGTGGGAAAGGGGTGGGGGAGGGTCTCATAGAGCCCAAATCCTCAATAATACCAACCTAAAAGTACAACGGAAGGCGAAACTTTTATTTTAAACCCAAAATCTCGCCTACTCGCCCTTTACTTCAGGAGGTAGGCTGGCCGGTAGGCCCTCTGTGATGGTCTGTTCTTTCTACTTTTTTTTTTACAGCACTACTCTCAGATACTACCATCCATATCCGTTTCTGGAAGAATGTGGCCATTACTGTTCTAACTCTACATGAACCACAATCAATTCAGCTCTTTTTATGTCAGCCCCCCCCACAGGTTCCCAAAACCCCATTACTACACCAACAACTGTTATCATCAGCACTAATTACCTGCATCTGCCTCAAGGGTCCAGCAAGCTCCTCTCCTAGCTTGGGCATCTCCGATGCTTTCTCTTGGAAGACAAAACAACTGATGAGGGAACACGCCTGTTGCGGTGTCAGGTCGTTGAAGACACCGTTGAACAGCAGCTCAGTCAGGAGAAGCTCATCACCACTGGGGAAATTGAAAGGAACGAAGGGGGTGCAACAGGACAAGTAAGTGGAAAGCTGACGAACATGTTGACTGAAGACTTAAAAAGAGCATTCAAAAACACTTCATTGATTTAATTACCAATATCACTTCTTACCTTATACACACTATTAGCTCAACATCTAACATGAACCACCAGGACTTTCATCTTTTTAAACATCAATCTCAAAGGGTACTGAAACATTGCATTAAGGTACAAAGTGACAACATTCTTTGGACTCCTATAAAATAAAATTTAAAAAAATACAATTTATCATCTCAATGTAAAGTATTGGAAAAGCCCATTATAGATATCCAGAGCAAGAAAACTTCAACATTGGTATAATAAAACAACAACCTCACAACCCAGTGTCACAACAGACAGCCAAGAACATCATCAAATGCAACACCAGGGAACAGTGGCTGAATGGATGGGCAATGGGCAAAACCGGAAGAACTGTATTTGTACACTTGACGGCCCCAAACTCAAAAGATGCACTAAATTCCCTGGGTAGAAGAGAACAAGTCACGATCTTTCGCCTGCGAACACAACACATCCCACTAAATTCCTAACTTAAAAGGATCCGCAAGGATACCCCACCCAACTGCCCGTTGAGCAACTGCCAGGATGAAACAGTACCACTCCACCTCTTTTCCTGCCCTGCACTTTGCGACCTGCATAGCACCAAACTACCTGCCTGCCTCCCCAGACATCGGAAATACTCTATACAGTGACAAAGCCCAGTTGATTAAAACCTGTAAATTCTTTGCCATATCGTCAGGCCGAAGGGCTAGAACCCAAATGGCCGCTGGATCGGAAAAGTAAAGTAAGTATAATAAAACACAAAAAGAGTAAAAACACTTTCCACATTGTTAAAACATCATCAGCAAGCCTCAAGGGTAACTTAAAACTGTGACCCTTACAACCATAAAGCTACAAAACAATATTTTTAAAAAGCCTGAGCGCTAACCACCAATCAACAGGTGACCAATCGCGTACCTGCTAATCTCACAAGCAACTCGTCCCTTCAGCTCAATGACATCTGAGGCTGTGGCATAACCCATTCGACGTAGCACTCGCTTACGACACTTCAGTTCATCCATCTGCAGCAGAGACTTTTTCTTCTTCAGCTCCAACTTCAGAACCTTGATCTCGTTGCCAATCTGGTTGGAGAAAAAAAACAACACATTACAATACACACTGAACACGCCATATTATTTCCTTTCAGCACCAGTGAGAAATCCTGGACACGAGTCACAGATATTGATGTACACAAAAGTGAGAAGACATGGAATAACATCAAGGGGCTAGCCCAGGACAGGGAAAGGTGGAACATGCTTTTTCATGGCCTATATCCTGAATTAGGGTGATAAAGGCAATGATGATGACCAGCAAGAAAGAGACTAGTCTTTTAATGACTCACCTTTTCCCATTAAATGAGAAAATATAAAAATCTTTGATGACCTAACTACACTCAAAATTGTCCAAGATGGCCACCCATTATCGAGGAGAAAAGTGACAATCTTAGCCACATGGATGTCTTACACGGTGCAATCATTATTATAATGTAAAGAAATGTGAGGGGGGAAATGGGAAGTTTTATAAAAGAGGATATTAGAGCAAGTTCAGCTGCACTTCCTTAACAAGTCTCAAGTCAACAGACTGAGAAGCGTCTAACTAATACTGCATAGAAAAATGAGCTGCTCCACTTTTCAGTTATCACTCTTTTTCTATCCAAAGTGAAAAAAGAATTCTTTGATTCATTTTATAATTAAAAAAACAAAACTGTTTTGCTGCACTGCAACATCACAGCGTTTGTTCCCCCCCATGCCCTTCCACAGAGCATTATTACATTTCAAATAGAGACAGTTCAGAAATCAGTAAAAAAGAAATAAGTGGTCATTACTGCATGAATCAAAATTTGGAAATACCCATCACATCACTGTACCAACCTTAGCTTTTTTCTCATACTGTTCATACAAATCGGTCAACCGGCCATCTTTGTTGAGAGGATGGGAGTGTAATCTCTGTTCAAAAGCTTGAGTTTTCTGCAAGCAGAAAGAAAAAAACCCAGTAATACACAGAATCCTGCCATACCGTTATACAATCAACAATCTTAAATTGGAAACCAGGATCAAGATTACTGCAAAAGAGTATTTTTTCACAACGAGGAATTTTTCGCATTGTGTTCTACACACGACACAGTAATGTAATAGAATAATTTTTAATGATTCACATATTTATCACACAAGTGTCCATACCATAAAATTCCTTTGTCCAGGTCCAAAAAATAACAGTTTCGAAGACAAAAAAACTCCTTGTGAAAAAAAATATTCTTTTACAATATGAACACAAGAATGCACCAAAGTGAAAAAGAGACAATAATATAATTATATCCCTAAAATTCTCAAACAACCTTTATGTAAAAAATAAACAGGCCTCTTTTTAAAGTAAATACACAATGGTTCAACCATAAAGTGTTAAGACAAACTCAAAGAACATGAGAAACTCGAAAAACAAAATAAAATTTTTCCACTGTGACAAAATAGTTTTTAAAACTTTTTACAAACATAACTTTACCTGGTCAAACAAAACTATGATATAAAGTAACAGACAAACCAGAGCTGGGTGTGGCAGAACAACTTCTACACAGTCCAAAACTAACCTTGATGGATTCCAACAGCCCTTTGTCTTTGATACCCATGTCTTCAATGGGATCCAGCAAAGGCAAGCCATCTGTGAACCTCTTCTCAACTTCCTGTTAGTACAGCAAAGGTCAACATGAGAACAGGCAGGAGAAAAACATACGGTCAAAGTTCACAATTTGTTCAAAATGACACTAATGCGACCTCTAATGACTCTGGAGAAAAGGAAAAATCATTCCAAGATTCCAAGGACATTATCTGCATATAAACCTTACTGCCAACACAGATATTTTTGTTTCCAAAGAAAAAACAATTAAGCCTAAGTGCCAAATCCAACATGTCTACTCTTTGCTTGAAATCTTACAAGGACAGTGATGAAAGTCATCTTAAAACATCTCTGTACAAGGACAGATTATCTTAAGAAAGAACATACACTCTACGGAGCCATTTTTAATGGTCTAAAATAGAAACAAAATCAGCTTATCTCTAGACAAGAGTGACTGCCAACTGAGCTTTTCAATTTTCCAGGGGGCTCATCCATTTTCTAGGGGCATGTTACATAACAACAACAGTGCGTGCTCCATTTATGTATATTATACACACACACATATTATACACATGTGCACACACACGCATGTAGGTACATCATATCCAGTCAACAACATGTTAGTGTAGCACTGGGATCTTGTGTGACTTTGGTATTTCAGTCTGTTCTTTCTTATTTATATTTCCCCCCTCATCGTATTCGCCTTATAAAGTATACAAAAATGAATCTTGTTTTGAGCCTGGGCCAAGAACCAGAATATCAACTGTAAAGAACCAGTTTAGGTTTCAAGTAGACCTATTCAGTGTGAGAGGTGTAAGAACTGTGGGAAGGCAAGATGCAGTGACACTGGAAAATCTGCCGATCTTGAACAGAAAGCTAAAATATAGATCTACAATACATGTAAGTTACAATCAACCATCCTATGAAACACGAGCCCATGAGTTAAAAAACACGGCTTACAAGGTATGAGTATGATGGACCACGATTCCACACAAGGCCTGCACCAACACGCGCTTTGCAGAGAATTCTGGTAGTAATCAAAATTCTAAATACTAAAATTTGCTTCTAAGTCCCAGCTTTTGTCATCCGGTGTTGCCTTCAACCCCATCCCCACCTCCTCCGAGTGTATCTTTTTAAAAAAAATCAATAGTCCCCCCATTCTGGAGTCCTATACTTCGCAGCGCTCAGACTTTGAATGACCTTTGGTGACCCCAACCATCGCCGGCACTCACAATATGATGCCAACGCGCAGGTTCAATGACCGGTCATGATGGCGAGCCTGACAAGACGTTTGCATAACTTTCTATTCTTCAGTGCTTCCACCAGCTGAAGC